TTATCCATTCATCTACTGATGGACACTTAGGTTGCTTCCATGTCTTGGGTATTGTAAATAGTGCTGCGATAAACATAGGGGTGAATATGTCTTTTTGAAACTGGGAATCCTGCATTCTTAGGGTAAATTCCTAGGAGTGGAATTCCTAGGTCAAATTGATGTCATCTGATTTTTAAAAATGATATAGACCTTTTGGTAGATGAGTGTTTATTGTGTAGTGGATGTGAGGGCAAGACTTGCTTTAGTGGACATACAAATATCCAGCCTTAAAGCACAAACCACATGATATGTTCAAGAAATGCAAACATGAGGTTGCTGCCTGCAAAGTATTGCCCCAGTTCCAGCTCACCTAGAATGAAACCAGCGGAGAATCATTCCCTTTGGATCAAGACATGGTATCTCCTTCTTAAAATGGACACACTCTTAAGAGAAAGAATGTAACCTTATTATTAACAATTCATGTCCCAGAGGGCATTCAGCTATGAGAACACTTGCCAGTGGGAGTTCCAGGCTGTTAAACTCTGCATGGTTAGAGAAAAAACGTAGCTCCAGAGGCTGAGGCATATCTGGGGAAGGTTTGATTTAATGGGGTGCTGTGTGTAAAGGCCAAGGAAATGCAGGGAACATTCTGGACAAGCATGAAAGCACTAATGGGGGGATGGGAGGCTATTAGAGTCAGAAAGGGAAAAAAGATTAATGGAAGTAGTTCTTGTCACAGAAAATGACCAGAAGGGAAATTGGATAAGAAAATAAACAATTAAACAATAGGTTGCGATAAGTGGTGTTCACGCGCTATCATGAGAGCCAAGAGGAGGAAGAGCCTAACGCTTGTTGGGCGGAGTCAAGGAGACCTTTGAGTTTTGCATGAGCCTGAGTTAATCAGGAGAACAAGGGTGGGCACAGGGGACAAAAGGAAGCAGCAGCACATGTGGTAGAGTGGGAAAACATTAGCAGAAGTATGAAGGGTTAAAGCTACACCGTATCTTAGGAAATCATACCTAGTTGAATATTGCTAGAGTACACGAGTAACAACAAGGAAGATGAGTAAGATAGGCAGCCCTTTGGTTGCCTAGGTACTGGGTTTCAATTACCTGCATTCAATTTTTATTTTTTAAGTTCCCAATGCATGATGGGTATATATTGGTAGCTTGTCTCAAATTTTTCTTACTTATTTAGGACTTCTTGATAAATTAGACACAAGATATATTCTGAAAGTATTTTTGTCCCACTTTGTAGGTTGCCTTTTTACTCTCTTACTGACACTTTTCAGTGATCAGAATTTCTTAATCTTAATTAAGTTCAGTTTACCACTCTTGTTCTATATAGTTAGTCCTTTGTGTGTCCCAGTTAAATCTTTGCCTACCTTGAGATCATAAAGATATTCCTTTAATTTTTCATAAAAGCTTGACTACTTACATTTAGGAATGTGATCCACTTTTGAATTGATTTCTGTAGGTGCTGTGACCAAGATTTGTTTTTTCCCATGTAAATATCTAATTAAGCAAGCACCATTTATTGAAAAGACTCTCCTTTTGCCCCATTGCAAGGCAGGACGTAAACCCAGGATGACTATTTACCTGTGGGTCTGTTTCTCAATTCTCTATTCTATTATATTTTATCTGTTTTTGGTCCAATAATACCACACTGTCTTAATGTCAATACTCAATGTGTTTCTCTTCTTTCTGGGATCTTGGCCTCTCGCATTCCAGTTGCTGTGATCTCTCTGTTGTCCTAAAAAAACCCTGCCTTGCCCCAACCCCCAGTTTTTACATATTGTTCTTGGCAGGATGGTTGGTCTAAATCAAGCTGTTCTGTCCAAGCTGAAAGCGGGATCCTAGAGGAACAGTTTTAGAAACACGTCAGATCATGTCCCTCCTCCACTTAAACTCCAGCCACGACTGCTGCTGCCCAGAGGGTGAAACCCAAACATATGAGTCCTACACAGAGACGCCTGCCTACCCCTACCCCTCATCTTGTGTCACTCTGTATCTTGCCTACTCTGCTTTTGTCAGCTGGTGTTTATCTCTCCCTAGGACGCTTTTCTCAAGAACACTTTGTTATTCAGATCTCAGTTCAAATGTCACTTCTTCACACAGGCTTTCTCCGACCACCATTAGGTGTAGTTCCTTTGTTAGTGTCACATATTCCTTCCACTGTTAATATCACATGACCTGTTTTATTTTCCTGATGGCACTTTCCACCTATGGAAATTTTTATCTATGTAGTAATAACTTTACTTGTTTAATGCATTTCTTTCCCCATTAGAATGTAAACTTTATGAGTGCAGGAGTCTTACCTACCTTTTCAGTGGTAGACTTCCCAATGATAAGAACAGTGCCTGGAACATACAGCAGAGTTGAATGAATACACATTAACATTTAGTATTATAGTGCTTGGCCAAAGTGAGGTCATACTTTTAATTCTTGATCAGGTAAGATGAAATGGGGACAGCAGATTGTGACATTAAAAGCAGTAAATGTCTTTTGACTTTGCCATGAGGATTGCTGACACATATTTTTGTTGCAAGTAGCATCACATGCCATCTTACAGGCATGCGTTTGTTTTCCTTTAGGACTCCCCTGATGGATAACTGGTATTCTCTGTCATATCTGTACTTCAGCACTCTTGGAACTTTGGTGACAATATTCATGGGAATGCTTATCAGTTTACCAACAGGTAACCACCTAAACATTAATATTGTTGTATTTGTCTATATGTCAGTTTTTAGAATATCTGTTTTATTGTTCCTTATGTTACTTTACTCTAATCCTGTTAACAACTAGTTTAATTATTTGTTCCATTTTACTCTTGGGAGATTTAAGCACCTGGACTTGAAAGCAGAAGACTCATCTCAATTTGAATCTTTGTTCTGCCATTTACTGACTGCATGAACTTGGGGAAGTCCGCCTGGCTACTCTGAGCTTTAGCTGTTATACATCTAAAGTGAGGATAATAACACTTGATTTGCCTATGTCACAGGTGGCTGGGAGATAAAAATGCAGTGCTTGAAAAAATCACATATAATTACTACAGTGGTAGGGATTCTACATGTAACTTTAAGACAACCTGGTGTCATGATCTTTTCATTGACACTGACTTTGTATAAACTATTAAGAAGTATACATATGAAAGGAATAAAAATTATAAGCTTTATATCTAAACACAGTGTGAAAGCTTTTTTCAAATGTTCATAAATTTAAAAAAAAAATCAAACACTGCTCTCTGGGGTAGCTATGGAGCGTTTATCCTGGGACTTCATTTTGTCCTCATTCTGTGAGCTGCCTTGGTCTCCCTGCTGTGTTGGATTCCCTGCTGCCTGCATCCCATTGCTCCTAATTCTTGTTTAAGACCCTTAATTGAATGGAGCACATCCTTGGAAAGGGTGGACAAGAGAAGAGATTGTAGAAACATTGTGTCTCTGAAAAAAAGTCTTTAATCTGTTTTACTCGATAGATCATTTGTTTGAGTAGAGAATCCTAGGTTGAAAATAGCTTTCCTGTTTCCAAGAGGATGTCTTAATTTTCTTCTAGCTTGTTACATTGCTGTTGAGAGTTCCAAAGCCACTGCTTACCCTGTGCAGGTGACCCACTTGACAGTGATGGCCTTGCCGCAGGCCCTCAGTAAGGTCCTTTCAATCTGAAGACCCATTCTAAAAGTAATGCTCCTATCCAGTTCTAGGACATCTTCCTATATTATTTCTTTTGTAATTTCCTGCTATTTTCTGTTTTCTGGTTCTGGCAACTCTTGTTAGTTAAATGTTTGAGTCTTGGACAGTCTAATTTTCTTATCTTTTCTCTCCTATTTTCCACCTCTGTGTCTTTTAGGTCTGCTACATGGAATATTCTTTACAATTAATTTTCCAATAATTCTCAAAAGAACACTCTGATCCAGTTTTGAGAATAGTCTGAGGGAAAGAGGGCAGATAGGAGGCTTTTGCAGTAATCCAGGTGAGCAATCACAGTGGCTTGGACTGAGGGGAGTAGGGTGGAGTTGCTGAGAAGTGCTGGACTTCCTCATTTCCTACGTTCCCTTCACGTGTACCCTCACAGCAACCAAACTACAGGAAGGTGGCTCCACTGAGCTCTTTATCAAATGGGTCACTAGTCAGCATTCTTACACTTTGCCCAAGGATGTCCGATGTCTTTATGCTACAAAGCTACCAGCAATGTGTCATTTTAAGGAATTCGATTAATCAATTACTGTTTTTTAGCACTTGAATAGCACTACCTTTCAAACTTCTATGACACTTGTACTTAAAATAAACAAATTATGTTAATCATTATAGGTGATAGCAATATATTAATTATAATGTTATATATTTGAATGTATGATTTTTATGCATTTATAATGAGGTTTGCAGGTATTTGTTACTTCTGAAACAGCTGTTTTAAACTATTATCTTTCTTTTCAATAAGGATGGTGCTTTTTCTCATAAATAAAATTAATAGAACAGTAGGTTTATTCTCATCTGTTTTGATGTATTTTAAGACAGATTTTAAACTTTTGTCACCAGTAACCCAATTGTTCATCTCTGGAATACACCTAGCCAATTCCTTGTGCTTTTTGACTCTTGGTCCTTACTCAACCCATTCTATTTTTTTTAAAGAAAATGGGGTATCAGAGGACTCCCTTTGAGTACTCCTATTTTTTCTTTAAGAGCTTGATTCTGATAACCACATGTAACTGTATTTTTTGTTTTAAAAAGTAATGCTCTACCCAGGTAAGCAGGCATCAAGTGATTAAAAAACGAAACTCTTCAACTTGGTTAATTTCATAAATGACTTATTTCCACTCCACAGCAGCAGTGAGCACTTTGAAAAAAAAATCCAGAAACATGAAATCCTAACACTCCTTGGGAAATGTATTTACGGATCTTCTGTAGGGTACTAGGAATCTGTAGGAATTCAGGTCATACAGACTTGGCTGGCATTTCAGCTACCCTTAACCATTTACTGTGTTCCTAAGTATGTCTCTTCCTCAGTAAAACTGGGTAAATACTTCCCCATAGACCATGAACTATGACTACAGTAATTGTTTTATTCACCTCTGTCTCTCCAGCACCTATCTTTAGCACATGGTAGGCTCTCAACAATGATGAATGAATTAATTTGAAGTTGATCCCACCTCCAGAACAGCAGAGGTTCCCATAATTAAAAGTCTAGTATTAATGTAGTTGTTCTCAAACATTAGAAGGTGTAAAGTTCACTTTGAAATTTGGGAACCGTCAGGATTCAGTGACCCCACCCCAGAGGTTCCAACTGGGCCAGTTAGGTTGGAGTCCAGGAGCCTTTTTTTTTAAGTATGTTCTCTAGGTGATTTGGATAGAAATAGTTTGAGAACCACTCTTTGAGATATATGGTTTTAAAAGCATCCTCTGTGATCCACAAGTAAAATACCAAACCAAAGAATAATTTTTATAAAGCAAAACCTTAGGGAAGAGAAATTGTATCAAACATCAATCGTCATATTGATTTTCATTTAAATAATTTATTCAGCAATTCATGATTTCCCACACTACTTCATACACATCTACATTTAAAGCCACCAAATTGGGGAAAGGCAACTCTACTGTTTGCTATTTTAGTGATCGATCACAAAGGATGCTTTTAAACCTGTTTTCCCACCAGTATTGGGTCAGTTGACTCTCTAGGTGAGGCAGTTGGCTTGCATTTAAAAGCCATCTTGTTTATTTTTAGACACTAGATGCATATTTATCACAGTGAGAGGCTTGAAGAATCTGAGACTGACTGAGGGAAGGGAAATGGGTTAAGTCTCCAGCACTACTTAAAAGATTCTCTTTTTCTTTGTGTTTTATGAGTTTATAGAGTGAATGTATACAAATGCCTATATGATAGACTGTCAGTGAAGAGTTACAGGTACTTTTAACAATGTAAATAATGTGTATGTTTTACAGGAGGAAGACAGCAAAACTTAGACCACAGATTCCTACTAACCAAAGAGGACTTTCTATCCAATTTTGATATTTTTAAGAAAGTAAGTTGGCTTTCTTTTTCCTTAACCTAGTAAGCCTGTGTTTTTATCACCAGGGTAGAACACTAATTAGTGCCCAGACTCTTTTGGACTCTGATGGACAGGGAAAGTATTTGCCCTATTCTTTGATGATCTGTTTTTTCACATTTCTCTCCCTCTGTAGACAGCGAAGTTGTTTTACAGAAAGAAAAGCAGTAGTAACCATTATTTAGAATTGAGTGAATCAAGTTTCTTTTTTCTTATCACCACATTAACATTTTCTTTTAGAAGAGACATGTTTTAAGCTATAAACCTCATCCAATAGAAGATGGTGGCACCGATAATCCTGCCTTCAACCACATTGAATTGAACTTCACAAATCAAAGTGGAAAGATGAATGGGACTCGTTTGTGAAGCAGCTGTGATACAGACGATCTTAAACAGTGTCCCAGGTTTATATATTTTCTAAGATAATTGGATCAAGTTTATATATATATATGTACTTTTTTTCTATCATGCAGGTTTTAGGGTGAAATTTTGGTGGGTAAATTTTTGTTAAAGCAAAATCCTGACTTTCTTTGCTTAGTACACCACTAACTATGCTACTCTGGAGTTGAGAGTTTCAGCATCAGCCTTTCCCCCCTGTCTCTTTTGTTTCAGTGAATCTAGAGTTGTGAAAGTTCTGAAAGTTATAACTATGCATTTGCTGGAAGGCTAATACATACATATACATGCATAGTTGATGGTCAAAGCATACTCTTAAATTTGGGCATTGTTAGAAGTATTTTCCAAGCATTTGGTACTAGCGTATAAGTTTTGGTGTTTGCTGGAATCATGAGTAATATTGAAAAGAGCTTTTCTCCCTCCTACTACACACTTGATTCCTAGGGAGCAGGGAGGTGGCAAGTCTATGTTGTCTAGCTCTTTGCTGCTCATCTATCCCTGTGAGCCCAGGGCACCTCGTCCCAGCCTATAGATGAAAACTTCCATGAGTCTGATACTAATGTACTTTTACTGTAGGTATTTATGGGTTTCATGATAAAAAATGGTTAAGCTCCATGGAGTTAGATGATTACATTAATGCTATTAAGTCGAACTTTTGAACGTCAACTAATTTGCAATCAATTAAATTTAAAGGTACATATGCGTAGAAATCTTAAATACTAGTATATTCACCCAGCTAAATAACTAAATTACAAGGCAGACACTACTATTTGTCTTTACTGTCCTGGAATTTCTAAACGTATGCTTTGTTCCGTGTTTTAAAATTTCAAGTAGCAGTCTCAAAAGTTTATTTCATTTATTTTGCTACGTTTCTACCTAAGAGTTTAGTTATTGACTTTCAGGAATAACTTAATGTTTATCTACAGTTCCCACATTAGATACTACTTAGAAGTTCTTTAGCTTTAGAATGTCATAAAATAATAATGTGAAAAATATTTAGATACATTAAAAATACCACAATTAAGTAATATTTTGCTTATTTTCTGATATTTTGCTTATTTTCTGATATTTAGGCAATCATGCTCTGTACTTTTTGAGGTTGCCAATTGAAAACATTAAGAAATAAAAAATAGGAAGTAGCATTTTTATCTAATGCAAAGTGATTTGTATAACATTTAAATTATTCATATATTTTATATGTGTATAGATACTTTTTTAATCAATGTATTTGTAAGCATAAATCAAACTTTGCAAATCTTTCTACAATTTTCTAATTAGTAAGAAGATATAATCTTTGTTTTATGCAAGTATGATTTGAACTATTGTTATTTATTTAATAATTCTAAATGCACATGTCTGTAGAATTTGCACATGTCAATTTTGGAAATCAAAATCAAATTATTTAAATGATTTTTTCTCTTATCTGACTGTTCATGATTATGCAATGTATTCTTAATGACAGATATGATACAGTCTTGCTTTTAACAAAGTATAGTTTGGTGACATTAAGAGCTGTCTATATTTTGCTTTTATAAACACAGAGTGCTTGATGGAATTCTTAGGAAATCAAAATAATTTTATTAATAATTATGAAAAATCATTAATCTTTTCTAAATGTTTGGGTAAAACCAAATAGAGGTAAAATGTTAATATTTAATGACATAAACTTAATAATCTAATCCTTGTCATTAGGGAGAGGTCTACATGTTTTCTATTTTTATTTTGCCACCGACAAGTTTTATAACCTTGAACTTATCCTTATCTCCTCTGGTGATGAAACTTAACATTAAACACTTACCTACCTCAGAGTATAGAAGATCAGATAGCACTTTATTAACTCAAGCAATGTTACTTAAAATTTCAATTTGATTGGGAATCAGAATTTAGACAAAGGTCGTTTATTAGTTTTTTTAAAAGATGAGCTGTTTAAAATCATTTGCAGTGTACAATGTGGAGATAATACTCTAAAAAAATACATGCTCTTGAAATATTAGAATATATTTAGGATCATTCTAATAGGATGTAAACTGTAAAGAAAGCTATAGACCAACAATATTCACTCCACAGAGAAATGATAATTTTGTATGTAGGATGTAAAATAGTATAAATACATACTCATTGTTTTAGTTGGTTATGCAATGGTTTTCTCTCTACACCAGTGGTTCTCAATGGGTGGTTTTGTACTTTAGGGGACATTTGGAAATATCTGGATAAATTTCTGTGTCACAGCTGGTGAGGAGGTGCTGCTGGCATCTAGTGGATTGGATTCAAGGACTGCCAAACACCCTATGATGCACAAGGCAGCCCCCTCCTCCACAACAGCAAGATTATCTTGCCCCAGGTATCAATAGTGCAGAGGTTGAGGAATCCTGCCTTAGAGGCTAAGGTTGCAACCTTGATTTTCCTGTCACAAACCCTGATTGTGTTCTTTGAGGGAAATTGCCTTGACTCTTCTTTCTGATAGTTCTCATTTACAGGTGGGGATTAAACTATCACTAGCATATGAAATGTTGTGATCTGGAATAATGACCATATATTTCCATAGCCTTTTGAAAATATTGAGAACTATAGAATTGTGCATAATCATGAAAACAAGTTTTAACAAAGCTTTGTTTCACGACATGATTTCGAACATTAACACACATTTGATGAAGGAAATATTAAATATATGAATATGAAGATTTCATAATTTTGGTATTTTTTAATGAAAACCCCAGAAAGTATAATTTATTGTTAACAAATGAGCATCTGTTCATGTTATAGATACAAGGGACAGGGATGGAGTCGAGATCAAGGAAGTGATTTTCTGCATTCTTTTTTTATTGAATTATAACTGACATATAATATTGTATTAGCTTGAGGTGCAACACATGGTGATTTGGTATTTTTATACATTACAAAATGATCACCATCATAGGTTGTGTTGATTTTTATAAGAAATTCCTGAGTTTCTCCAATAATGTGTTGACACAGAGTCAACTGACTGCATGACCAATTAGCTACTGGAAATTCCCTGTACCATTTAGTCATTGTAAAATTTACTTCTGCATTTGAGTTGTGTGCCAATTGTTTGTGAAAAAACTTGAGGGAGTTGAACATTATCATGTAAAATGTGGTTGCATTTATGATTTTTCATTCTTGCTGAATAAACTCTCCACAAATGTCTTTGCAGTTGTCTGTTCTTGAGGAATTAAATTTCATTTAATGTTTAATATAACAAATTATATTCAACAAATTGAATATAATTAAGCTTATCAGCTTTCACAGATAGTAATTTTCACTCTATCACATAAAGGAATCCTCCTGTATACTATATATAGATTATAAATGTGTAAGTAAATATACCTGCAAAACTTTTATCACTGAGAATATTTTAAATTTTAAGTTATTAACATCATTAACAAAGAAAGTAACATCTTTATTACTGGAAATCTCTTAGCCATTATCTCTGCAAACATTCCTCCCTCCCATTTTCTCTGTTTTGTAATTCTTTAACTCCTAGTAGATGCATGCTGTACCTTCTTATCCTATTCTCCGTATCTCCTAATCTGGTTAATATTTTCCATCTTTTTATATTCAAAAACTTTTATATTAAAATTTATATTTAAAAAGGATATTTCCTTTCATTTTCTTTTCAGCTGTTTCTAACCTGCTACTTAACCTGTCCATTGAATTTTCAATTTCATTGACTTTATTTTCTTCATTTCTAAAGTTGGATGCACTTTTCAATTTTCCCTATTCTTTTCTTCCTATTATTGGATTCTTTTATTATGATTCACAGTCATTCTTTTCTCTCTCTAATAACTTTAACCATAGTTATTACACTTTCATTATATTATCTGAAATAAAATTAGTGTGTTAATTCTTCTCCTTGTTCTTTTGCTTGCTCTCCCTAATGGTCGTTATTTACCTTATGCAGTTAATCATTTTAACTAAAAGTTTATCTTCTGTGGGGGTCATATTTTTTCTAGAGAGCATTCCCTGGGCTCTGGTTAGTGAAAGAGTCTACAGGGAAGGTTTAAGTTAGCTTTTGCTGTGCACTCGTTGTTTTGATGGCTTTCAGCCAGTTTTACCTCATTATCTCAGAATAGGTTAGGGCTTCTCTCCTAAGTTCCCCATATCAGTTTTCCTCCTGTACCCATGCGTGGCACAGGATGTAGCTTTGACGCCTCAGGCACTTTGTTTGATTTCCATCTAAAGACTTGAACAGAAGCAAACTTTCTTTAAAATTCCCTTTTAACTGTTGGGCTCTTCTTTTTAGGCTTCAGGCTTTTCAGTGATATTCGGAATAGAGTTCTAACTCCGCCACATTCTGAAGGCAGAGAGCTCATCTTTGTCCCCATGAGGACATAAGAACTTACCAGGATCTGTACCTCCATACATAACTCAACATCTGCTGGTACCATTGCTATGCTTTTGATTTTCTTTTGTTTTAATTGAGGTAAAATTGGCATAAAATCTGGTTTCAAGTGTACTGCATGATCATATTTACATACACTGCTAATTGATCACCACAATGAGTCTAGTTACCATCTGTCACCATGCAATTGAACCCCTTCACCCTTTTTTGCTGACCCTCCAACCACCTTCCCCTCTGATAACCACTAGTCAATTTTCTTTTCAATATTGGGACTGTTGTTTCCTTTTTATTCTTACAGTCTTAACAGTATATTAAAATTATTGTTTTGGGTCATTTTTATCCAGAATTTTTATGTGTTTATAGCAACAGGGGCCCTCAGTCACTCCCCATTTTTCCCGACCCTCTTCGCCCTAGCAACCACTAATCTACTTCTGCCTTTATAGATTTGGCTATTCAAGAGATTTCATATCAGTGAAATCACATAATGTGTGGTCTTCTGTGACTGGCTTCTTTCACATACCATAATGTTTTCATGCTTCGAGTTTATCCATGTTGTAGCATATATCAATACTTTATCTTTCTGGCCTAATATTTCAATGTATAGCTATACTGCAATTTATTTATCCATTTATCAGTTGCTGGACTATTGTATTGTTTCCACTTTTTGGCTGTTAAGAATAATGTTGCTCTGAACACTGTGTACAAGTTTCTGTGTGGATATGTTTTCATTTCTCTTGAGTATGTATGCACCTTGCAGTAGAATTGCTGGGTCACATGGTAACTCTATGCTTAAACATTTGAGGAATTGCTAAGCTGTTTTCCAGATCGTTGCACATCTTACATTTCTATTAGCAGTGTATGAAGATCCCAGTTTCTCCACATCCCAGCCAACACTTGTCATTAAACTGTATTTTTGATAATAGACATTCTAGAGGGCATGAAGTGGTATCTTGTTGTGGTTTTGATTTGCATTTCCTTAATAGCTAATGATGTTTACCATGTTTTTATGTCTATTGGCCTTTTGTACATCTTCTTTGGAGACCTGTTTGTTCAGATCCTTTGTCCATTTTTAACTGGTGAATGTGTTTAGTTATTATTGAGTTATAAGAATGTATCTCAAGATACAAGTCCCTTATCGAGATACATGATTTTCTAATATTCATAAATGACTCATCTGATAAGCGGTTAACATCCAAAGTATATAAAGAATGCATATGCCTCAAAAACAAATAACCAAAAAACAAAGAACCCGATTAAATATGGGCAGAGGACCTAAACAGACATTTCTCTAGAGAAGAAATTCAGATGGCCAACAGGCACATGAAAAGATGCTCCATATTACTAATCATCAAGGAAATATAAATCAAAACCACAGTAAGATATCATCTCACACCAGTTAGAATGACCACTATCCAAAAGACAAGCAGTAACAAATGCTGGCAAGGATGTGGAGAAATGGGAATCCTCCTACATTGTTGGTGGGGCTGTAAATTGGAACAACCACTGTAAAAACAGTATGGAGGTTCCTCGTAAAACTAAAAATAAAAATACCATCTGATCCAGTAATTCCACTTCTGGAATTTACCCAAGAAAACAAAATCCCTGATTTAAAAAGATATATTCACCCCTATGTTTTTCACCACACTATTTGCAATAGCCAGGATATGGAAGCAACCTAAGTGTCCATCAATAGATGAATGGATAAAGAAGATGTGGTACATATACACAATGGAATATTATTCAGCCACAGAAAGTAAATCCTGCCATTTGCAACAACATGAATGGATCTAGAGGGTGTTATGCTGAGTGAAGTAAGCCAGGTGGAGAAAGACAAATACATATAATTTCACTTATTTGTGGAATATAAAACAAAGCAAAACAGAAGGAACAAAATAGCAGTAGACTAATAGACACTGAGAAGTGACTAGTGGTTACCAAGGGGGAGGGCTTAGAATAGTTAAGGGAGATAAAGGAGCATAATAATTTGCAATCACAATGTAAGTTGGTCACTGGGACAGTAAGTAGTACAGCATGGAGAATATAGTCAATGATTCTGTAACATCTTTCTACAGTGATTAATAGTAACTGCACTAGAGCAGGTGAGGATTTGATAATGTGGGTAACTGTTGAACTACTATGTTGTACATCTGAAACCAACAAGATTGTATATCAGTGATACTTCAATTAAAAAAAGCCAATAGAGACCATGAAAATTGTATATATACAAGAAACATATAGAAGAAAATAAAATATACATTTTCTTCCATTCTGAGTGTTGGAGGGTTTTCTTTTAATTGAAAGGCTCTGAATTTCAGAGAAAGGCCACCTGAGATCTAAATACAAGTAAAATATGTGTTTTTGAAGTTGAAAAATATAAAGCCTCCTATCCATACCCTTAAGACAGAAGAGGAAACACATTGTTTCAAAAATAAGATATAAAAAGTACAGTGCAATTTATAATAGGGCTATTTACAGAGGTAGATGGAGGGGGAAAAAATGGAGAGAAATGGAGTTACAGGATAGAGGAGAGGGATAAATACATAGATGTACGTTCTTGATGAGGCTTTGAGCAGCATTGTTAAGTCACACTGGGTAGAAGCCAGGGTACCTAGGCAAAGGCAAGACCTCCAAAGAAAGGTAATGTCAGGAATACCTTGCTTTACGTGCTGCTGGAGAAGCAAGGAGTTGGTTCAAGGCCGTCTGCAGTGGAAGTGATGAAGCAGAGAAGAGAGGCATGAGAGGTGGTTCAAAGGGAAGCATTGTAGTGAGATGTTCAGAAAATGTAGCCAGTGATCTTTCCCCACTTCCTGGAGCATTTGATGGCCTCCTCGGTTCTCCACATTCAAATAATCTCATCTTTGATGTAGATAGCTCAGGAAAGAGATACTTTTGCAAATACTAGAAAAAAGAGGATTTCTTCTTGGCTTTTGAGTGTCAAGAGTCTAGCTTTATCGGTTGATGACCAAATATCTTGGAAGGTAAGAGCTAGGTTCTTGAATCCCTAAAGGAAAAATGGATTCCTTATGCTGGGAAGGTTAGAGGGACGTGATGAAAATCAATTTAATTGTGAGTCTCAGAGGAAGGGTGTCTGTGTCCTACTGTATGTGCTAAGCCCCAGGACACTGACAACAAACCACCTTAGGTTTGTGGGATTTGAAAACCATAAAACCCAAGCCCCATCTCCTGGTGGAGCTGAGGGCCACAGACCCCAGGGAACATACAGCTGAGTGGCGCTTCTGAGCAGCCATAGGGTCACGAGGTGTTCGAGGGACTTAACTAGGTTTCATGAGTGCAGAAGCAGAAATTGCTGCATGAGGTGTTCAGATGAATAGGACTTTAAATAGTCTCACACTTTTCTACAATCTAGTGTAGCAGAAGAGCAACCTAATGATTTCTAAGTTCCCAAGGGCAGCAAGGAGATAAGGAAGGAAACCCGTGTGGGAATTAGGCTCAAACAGGCTGAGACCTGCTTAGACCGACAATCAAGGATCCTATGGTTTCTGAACAGACCATGGATATTATAAGCTTAGAGAATTTTAAAAAATCAGGCAGGTGAGGGAGTGGTGTTAGGATGAAGAAATACTATTTATTGTCTTTTTTTATAGCAAATAAGCCAATCAATAGTGTAGCTAAAAATGGACTTTAACCTTTAAATGCTTTTCATGATTTCTTTTCTTAAACTTAGTCACCTGTGTTCACTGTTGTATTCTTAGCCTCCAGAATAGGGCCTGGCCCCAAAAGTGCATGTTGAATGAATGAATCTAGTCCCACCTCTTAAAGTTTTCACCCTCCTTTCTGAGTGTTG